AAGAAGTGCAAATTTGTATTACAAGTTTGTGTCTGTCGTTGTATCTTTGTGAATGGCATGTTACACATTTGTGACTACTTGTCTGCAGCTTCAAATTCAGAATACAGGTTTGTGACTATAGTCTGCGAGTGCAAATCTCAGCGTTCAAGTTCAGATTTTTATTTTACAGGTTTACACATCGGAGCTGTGAGTGTGAGTGTAAATGTTCGCGTACACGTACGAATATTTATTGTACAAGTTCTCAAATTCACATCTATGTGCTCTCGAGTTTAGCTACTGGTTTACCTTCATATTATGCTCGCGTCTCATATGACTATGTGCGTGGAGAGTTTGTGTGCGCGCGCGCGTCTCATATGAGTATGTGCGTGGAGAGTTTGTGTGTGCGCGCGCGTCTCATATGAGTATGTGCCTGGAGAGTTTCGCGCATCTCGTGTGTGTAGAGTTTGCGTGTATGCGTGAGCAACTTTAGGTGTGTCGTTGTGCATTTCATATGTATTTGTTTGAGCATTCAGCAGTATACATGTATGTTTGACTACTTAGTATACGTTTATGCAAGTGTTTCATATGTGTGCGTGAATGAAGTTTGGGTAAAACTTTATAATAACTACACGCTAATAATCATTAGTTAAGCATGAGTAAACAGTTAATTCTTCATTCATAAAGCATTGATAGACATTAATAAGCAGTTTATAAATACAGCTATAAATGCTTTCTTCTTGATTTACAAGCGTATCTACAATTTATTTAATAATTGTATTTTCATCCTTTATCAATGATCAATTTATTATTTCTAAATGAATAATTGCATTTTTTATAAACCAGTTATTTAAGAGTTTTCAGTGGTTCATAAGATTACTTAGAACGTGTAAGTAAATGATTAATAAACTATTGAAATGTACATTCATACATTTTATTATTCAGACATATAGTAATGGTTACTTAGTGTGTTAATAAATGCTTTATTAACATGTATTTATGCTGTAATTCAGGGTTAATTCGGGTAGTTATAAAGCATTTAGTAGTGGTCAGTTAACTATGTTTGTGAGCTCATCTAAAGTGAGGACTATTCATGCCTTGTAAAGCATTTATAAAGGAGATTTAAATGCTGTTAAATATTTCTATGTTCTGTATCACTGTGTTGTGTTTGTTACATTTTACTGTTTAGAAGATTGATGCGCCTTTAAATCTCCTTTATAAATGCTTTACAAGGCATGAATAGTCCTCACTTTAGATTAGCTCACAAAATAGTTAACTGACCACTACTAAATGCTTTATAACTACCTGTATTTACTACATTTACTTACACTTTCTAAGTGATCTTATGAATGACTGACAACTCTTAAATAACTGGTTTATAAATAATGCTATACTTCATTTAGAAATTATTAATTGATCATTAACAAAGTATGAAAATACAATTATTAAACGCATTATAGATATGCTTATAAATCAAGAAAAAAAGCGTTTATAGCTGTATTTATAAACTGCTTATTAATGTCTATTAATGCTTTATAAATGATGAATTAACTGTTTGCTCATGCTTAACAAATGATTAATAGCGTGCAGTTATTATAAAGTGTTACCGAAGTTTGATTTAAGCCCTAGACGGCACCTCACATATTGTTGTCTTTTCGCGTGAAATATAACCAAACGAGCGTTTCTGCCTCGATGCCATGTTTGTTGCGTTCTGAATCAAAATAACGCAGCGCGTGTGTGACGTCATGACACATTTGCTACATGCGGAACCGATAAGCGGAATCGTTAAGCAGGTATACTAACGGTTCCAAGGAATTGTTTCACTGGGAACCGGTTTCTGGAGAAGAACCGGTTCTCGATTCCCATCCCTAGTGTCCATAAATCTAGCAAACAGTTCATCCCCATCTTGAACAGTAGCATATGCAGAGTCAAGAGTATCTAGATACACTATAGGCAGCGTGCTGGAACTCAATTGCTTGACCATATCTGCTGCTGGAGGAAGGAGGCTCTCCACTATCCTCCTAGAGCGATGGAGGTCGGACACAGATGGATCCTTCAACAGCAGTTCTACTCCTGACCGCCAGGTGTCGTAGTCAGCCTCATGAGTAGGTCTGGGAAGCCGACCTGAGAAAACCCTGATCCTCTGGTGATGTGCTGCACTCTCCTCATTCTTTACAATGTGCTCTACTACGTAGCGCTGGACCTCAGGTGGATGGACGTCAATGCTGGAAGTTGAATGTCTCATGCCCGGCTGCATAGGATCAGAAGGATCAATGCGGGGCTCAGCGACTGACTTGGGAGCAGCAGTGTCCACGAGGGGAACAGAAATGGCTGGTGGAGACCGAGTTGATGGCTTCACTGATGGCTCTGGCAGCGTGGGCAACTCGGTGATTGGTGGATCTTCCACATGAGGCGCAGGGCGGAGCTCGGAGACCGAAAGTCCAATCTGAGACATTGTTGTTTTAAGCACTTCTGTGTAATCCACCCCAGTTAATTTGGCTAAATTCTGTAAATCAGACAAATACAAAGTTTTAGCTTTAGCAAAGTGATCTGTACAAACAGAAGATAGCTCCAAAATACAACATGTATGTGTCTTTTTAGCTGAGACCCATGTGTGCGGCAAAATGGGATGCAGCGCTTCCAAAGCTGCACCACTAGTAAATTCAGATTCTGTCTCAGAACTTCTCTCAATCTTATTGACTGAACCATATTGACTTAAAAACTCAATGACTTCATTACTTCCTGATTCTGTTATGCCCTCCAACAGCACAGCATTTGGTAATTTGATACCACGTTTCAAAAACACTGGTAATTTGATACCACATTATTGTTACTGAACTGCAATAAACCCAATCAATAACTCAAATGTACATTAAACTCACCAATTCCTCCTGGCTGGCTCGCCACATTTATGTAGCATATAAGTGCTGCAATTGTATGTAAAAATAGTGGACCAGTATCAGAAAATCTTAGTTCAGCTCAAGGAGGAAAAGGTAGAGTTCAATGAACACAGACTCAAGGCTGCAGTGCAATTGTGAATAGTATTACATAAATAAGTGAACGAGCATTTACAATATTTACACGTGCACATAGGTAGTATTCAGTTCAAAATTATTAATGAGCATACAACAATTTCAGAATTCATTCAATAATCAATGCTTGAAGCCGCAGCAGTTCACGCCACACAACTCTTAAACAGGCAGAGTCCAATGAGTCCATGATGGAACAGTCCATAAGATAAATATGAATGTGTGTAAGTGTAAATATGTCTGACAGTGTGTGCAGGTGTAAATATGTCTGAAGGCGTGTGTGCACAGGTGTATCAAAAGCAGCAGCTGCAGTGCCTCCTACCACACCGGCAGATGCATGCACTCCAAAGCATCAGTTTCGGGCCTAGTGGCTCGCCATCCACACAAATAACCTGGCCTGTACAAAACAGGACCAATTTATTATTAACACTGATTCCAAGCATCACAACTATATCACCATAATCATAATACCATAAAGTCATCATATTATAATAATCAAAATCTCAGTTTATTCACGTCATCATCATGCACATGATTCAATTTAAATACTGCATATAGCAATATAAATAATTTAACAATCAGCGAGAGTACTCCTATAAATAGACAACATTATCAATAATAGCTTCAAAATACATCTCAGAATCAAAGAGTGGTTGACAGGAACTTCATAATTCAACATCAATATTAAGATCAAGGTTAATTAATTATTAATGCATTGTTCATATAAATAGGCACAATATATAGTCATAGATTCAGTACAATTTAAACAAGTACAGTCAGCGCCAGCACCAGCTAACAGATCCATACACTATCAGTGCCGTATAATACAACAATGACACTCACCAGTTCCTGTATCATTAAGTCACTCAAACAGCACAGTCAATTGAATGGTATAGAGGCATCTAAAAAGTTGGCAGGCATAACAGTTAAACCAGCAGTCTAATGAATAAAATGTTTACATGTTTACAAACACGAAGTCTCGCGACAAAGCAAACATAGTGTGGAGCCGCGAGAAGGGAAAACAAGGCAGTAAACACCTGGGTTACACTCCTGATCACACATGATCTCTAAACTGTAATTTGTTATTAGTTTTCTGTAATTGTCCAGCTGTAGTGTGATCTTCTTCTCTATTAATATTCCTGCAGACGAGGAATAAGACAGAAATAGTCAAATTCACTCAGTATTACTTGATCTATTCCAGCACTCCCTCAATTACAATCAAGCACAGTTAACTGTAGACAGTTGTGTTGTGCGCAGTAAAACAGTTCTTTACAGTCAAACTCATTTATTATGTGTGATAATGAACATTTCTGTCCACCACAGACTGCTGATGCTCTTTGTCTGAACACCTCTGTGAAAATATCCACAGTTAAACACTGATTTATAGAAGACTTGACACATTATTCACCTTCAGCTTATTGATGGAGAATATAGAGTTCATGTATTCTAGTTAAACATAGAGAACATAAACATAACTTGACAATGATGTGTGAATTAAACTCATTATAGTATATATTTGCTTGTTATATTTGAGTGTTTGTTATTAGTGAGTGACATCACAGGTGTCAGTCACAGCATTATATACTAGCTTTATATTTTCTCTCTGTCAAACTGCCTGTTAGATAGTTTGTTTTATGGTAAACTGTTTGTGTGTTGTTGGTTTTGAATTGTTGGTAATACTTTACAATAAGGTCCCGTTAGTTAACATTCGTTAATGCATTAATTGTTAATGTTTTAGTCAACTGTTCATTGTTAGTTCATATTAGTTCAGGTCCATTAAATAATATTGACAGATAAAACTTTTGATTTTAATAATGTATAAATGAACATTAACTGAGATTAATAAACACTTTAGTGTTTTTCATTGTTAGTTCATGCTAACTAACGTAGTTACAGTCACTGGCGAGTTTTATTGATTAGATTATTCAACACTGAATCTTGTTTGAGCATAACCCCCCTGACTCTTTGCTTCTGCCTTCTTCTGGTTCTTCACAGGTTCTCTGAGCCCAAACCTTCTGGGCTGGATATTCACCCGCTGCTGAACTGCCAGTCTTGTGTCCATATAGCTGATTCTGACCAGTGGCTTCAGATTGAGCCGTCGGCCTGTACAGATGAAGGAGGGTCAAAGTTCAGGGTCCGCACTGGCCCAGGCCGTTACGAGTGTGTCAGGACCAGAATGCGATGGGTCTGTGCCTGTGTCGTCAGCCTTCAGTACCGGACCGTAGACGGACTCTTCCTCAACGCAGAGCTGGAGAGGCTGCACTGCAACCGGATCGCTCCAGTGATGGACGTGACGGTGATCTCAGGGAAACTGGAGGAAGTTCATCTGCCCCATTACGCCTGTTTAGGAGAGTCTGACCCCTCTCTCAAAGATGCTGTGAAAGTGCTCACCGTAAGAGACGAGGGAATAACCACAGAACCTGTGCAGATGACCCGATTCCATGCCAAGATTTTCCAGCCATCCTTCTCTATTACAACATTGATTATAAGTTGGATAATGAGATGGAACGAACACTGCGATCTTCTTCTCTACATGTGTTCTAAAGATCCTCTCATTCTACATCTCTACCTTTTTCCAGTTGATGATTGTGCAAAAAAAAAAGTTGAGGAAACTGAAAAGTCATTTTCATCATGCATCATCAGGCATCCCAGACCTGGCAGGCCACTCCGGATTAACACGCCACACACACTTGCTGTCCCTGGTGCCTCTATCCATCCCAGAGAAGGGATCACACTCACAAGAGAAACTGACCCAAACTTCTTCAAGGTCAACACAAGTCTGGAGAATGATCTTCAAATGACTCTCATCAGAGAAGAGGATAAGGAGGAGGTCTGGAGTGCAACGATAAAGAAAGAAGAACTTAAGAAATATGAGCAACTTCGTCCTAAGAGAGACGAGCCGCGTCTGAATAGTGAGGAAGGTAAAGCACAATTCTTTAATAACCATTGGCCAGATCTCATTCAGGGGGTTAAAATTGTTTGGATCATTGCAGATAAACTGAGTCAGCAGAAACTAATTCATGAGTAACAATATTCAGAAATCACTCATGACCGTTTAACCAGTCAGAAGAGCATGAGAAAGATCTGTGATATTATACGTATGTATAGTGACACTGTGAAAGCGAAATGAATCTCAATTCTTCAGAAAGAGGAGCTTTACATTTTAGAACATCTTTACGATTCTAAACTATGACCTCAAGGTGGATATATATATATATATATATATGTAGGTGCTCTAAAGCAACAATGACATGTATAGGTATATATATATAAAGCTGCTCTAAAACAGCAATGACACGTCTTTCAAGATATGAATTGCTTATAACATTGCAAAAATCTCATAAATATTTTATACATTTAAGTAGTTTTTTTGTAATGCAAAGTAAACTTTAGGTAAAGTGATTTTGTATCCTGGTCTAATTATATTTTTCTTACTTCATTATCATTGTAAAATCCAACAGTTGTTCTAACTAACACTTTTTAGTTCACTTTACTTTTAATGTCTTAACTTAATTAAAAAAGAATTGTAATCTGTACTAATATACTACATTCTACTATTTTTCTACTATCATTCTATAACTTTTCCAGTGGTTAAATTGGCGTTTGTAGGAAGGGGGAGCACTTATTTACGGTGAATGGTCATTTTTTTAAAAGAAGTTCACATAAGCTGACTTCATAAATTGGTTTTCCTAAAATGCTTTTGTTGGAACTCACCATTATGGTGATCAGTGTTCCATTTGGTTGGACACTTGGAACTTTATTTATATTATTGTAATTCCACTTAGTTAAGGCAATCGGTTTGCATGCTTTTTTAAGTAAGAGTATTTATTTCGATTCTACAGTGTACACAGACCTTCTGTTCGTCATCTTGCGGTAGGAGTTTTACATCTCAGAATTTACATTTTATTAAGTTTACTCTCTCTAGTTCATTGGAGGAGTAATCTTTATAAGAGTTTATTCTGTGGAATACTTCGTTCTGATTCTGGTCAATCGCACCATCCAGCGGTATATTATTCCCAGATAACAACAGAGAAGAGAAACAGAGACTCATCCGGGTCACTGGAGTCCGCAGCGCTATACACTCGCTAGGAACGTTTTTTCTTCGTGGAAATTTTGCGTTTATCGATTAGGTCGACACATCGTTCTTCTGAGTAGTTCTATGCAACTTAATTTACTAATTTGATTCCTTTTTGTATGGAGTGGTAAAACCTTGGCTTGTGCACTGATGTAAAATGGATATTACAATTAATGTGCTTTGGCAAATTCATAGGAGGAGCTAAAACATATCTACATTACTATGCATCTACTATATTAATGTCACGGGTGGTGTATGGCAGGAAGCACGAGGAGACAAGGAATTCCACTAAATAAATTTGACTATAAATCAAAACAACAAACAGGAACAGGCAGACACAGGGCCGGCGCCAGCCATTTGGGTGCCCTAAGCACAAATGCTTGGTGGTGCCCCCCACCCCCTCACCCCCCCACCCACCCACTCACTCACCCACCCACCCAAGGAATAACAACCATTCAGAATTTCTTAGTCTGATGAAGCACAATATAATAATTCTGTACATAATTTGTAGGGCTGGGAAAAGATTAATCGCGATTAATCGCATCCAAAATAAAAGTTTGTGTCTACATGAATGATATATGTGTGTGTACTGTGTATAATTATTTTGTATATATATAAATACACATTTGCATGTATGTATTTAAGAAATATTTGTTATTTATATATAAAATATTTAAATTTATATATAATATAAATATATACAGTATATACATGCAAATATTTCTTAAATATATACGTGCATATGTGTGTGTATTTATATATACAAAATAATTATACACAGTACACACACATATATCATGTAGACACAAACTTTTATTTTGGATGCGATTAATCTTTTCCCAGCCCTAATAATTTGACAACTCTGTGAATATGACAACTCTGGCACCAGAGGGAGACGAAAAGGGAGATTCACCTTTTTCTCGACTAATTTGGTCTAGGCCTATATTACTTTTGTATTGCTTTTGTATATTAACATGCTTTAGACATATTTTATTTATTATTTATACTAGTAGCCTATTGTGATGATTTTTCACGACCCAGATTTTTTGGTGCCCCCCCCAAGCACTTGGTGCCCTACGCGCAGCGCGTGATGTGCGTGTGCGGAGCGCCGGCCCTGGGCAGACAGATGGGTAGCGGATGCAAACACCAGGTAACATTGACGAGAACCGACAAAGACAGACTGAACAGAGAGAACTAAATACAGATACAAACGACCACTAACGAGGTGAGGACAGGTGACACAGATGATTAAGACGATGAACAGGTGGATGAATTGAGGGAGTGAGTTCAGGTGTGGAGACAAGAAGGATTCTGGGTAGTGTAGTGATGACTAAGACAGACAGGTGCAGACGAAGACTGTGACAATTAATAAATACTGTAAGTAGATTTACACAACTCCAGTGACTATCTCTGTCTTTGCTTCATTAATACACACAAGAATTTTACAACATGTAATGTTTTTGCACCTCTGAATACTAATTGTACTACTCGTAAAAAGCTTTTTATTTGAGTTTAGTTTCCTACTTTGTGTGTGACTCTTGTGTGAATTGAGAAATCTCTGACTGTTTGACAAGAGTTTGGGTGAGATTCCTCTGAGAGACGAGACCTGATCTAACCCTAACATTCGAACACTTATAATCATGTGTTTAGAGGAAAAATACTGAAGATCTTTTTCTTTTTGTCCTGCAGAAGTGAATCAGCGAAGGAATATGGCGTCTGTTAAAGAGCTACTCGTGAACTCACTGAGGGATCTAGGAAAAGATGATCTGAAGCAGTTTCAGTGGCACTTGAAGAATCATGAGCATATTACAGCTTCTGAAATGGAGAACGCAGATGTCTTTGACACAGTGGACACGATGGTGGCACGTTTAGGACCAGAAGAAGCTGTGAAGATCACAGTGAACATCCTGAGGAAGATCAACCAGAATTATCTGGCTAAAGAGTTGGAGAAAAAACACAAGGAAGGTAATGTTTTAAAAATTGAATTGAAATGTTTTCTTTCATTGTAAGGAGTGACTGTTTAGGACTGTGATGGATTCAAAGTGAAGAATGAAGTCATTGTTAAACTCAAACGTTTGTCTTTGCTCAGCTGATGTGTGTGTGTAATCTGATGTTTCATCTTTCTCTCACAGCTCAGACTGAGGGCAACATGAAGTCTTCTTCCACTTGCTGATTCAAAACAGATCAAGGGTAAATAATGACCAGTCTGTACCGTGAAATACATATTTATCACATACTCATATTCAAGTCTTGAACTTAATCTCATGTAGTCACAAGAGAAAATAACTTCAAGCATTAGTTAGAACAAATATTTGTTAAACAATGGCTTATAACTTTTAACCAATATGCTCCCACCAGTCCTGAGATCTCGCACACAATAACTGAAGCATATGCGCAGGCTCGATGATGGCACTCTTCGTCCTCCTCCACCGCAAAATCATGGTGATGTTTGGCGAACTTCGCATATATCGCAGAGCTAGCACCAAGCATATTTCACGTTCGTCCATCTGTGCAAGAATCCCCTTTAAGCATGTGCGATGTTTTAGATAGTATGTCAAGTGTAAACACATTAATCAGATATAGGTCACAATTGAAAGAACGTGTAAACGGACGGTAAAAAAAAAATAGATATTGGCAACACATCAGAATTGGTCATCAAGACCTGCGGTGTAAACGAGGCCTAAGAGAAGTGCTGACGCATCGCGGATGCCCATGACATATTTAGCAGAATAAATATCTCGAACTGTCTGCTGTTAAGAGTTTTGCAGTGTGAAATGTGTTTTGACTGGAAATGACATTGACGACCTACAGCCAATGAGAGAGCAAGAGACAGTGCGACGGAAACTTCACGAGGAGTTGTCGTCTCCCCAACCATTCTCTCCTCCATATTCTTCTGTTTTTCTGTTTTTGTTTTTCACTGCATATCAGCACACAGCCAACCTGGATCGCCATTCCCTGTATCACTTCTCACGCATGCATTCTGGAAACAAAACAGAGTTGATGGGGATTATTTCCAGTGAGATATTGTGTGATGTGTGACCCCCAGTCAACGATCGGTCGTGAAGTGTGTAAACCACAGCAACTTCATGATACCCAAAACAGTTGTGTAGTGTGAAAGGAACAGCCCTTGATTAGCGAGTTCACATGTGTTTAGTTAGAGCGGGAGCTAAACTTTGCAGGAAAGCAGAACTCAAGGGAATAGAGTTGAGAACACTTGCTCTAGGACCAATAAGGAAAAAGTACGTTTTAAAAAGAAAGATTTGAGACTACACAGACCAAGGCATTTCAATTACATTACAAGCTGTTGTCCCTTATGGAACGAAAATATATTTCCATATATTTCTGATCAATATATTAAATGATTTAAATATACTGAACAAAAATATGAAATAATATATGGTTCTACAGTGTCTCTGACAGTCACACACACTCAACACCACATTCACTGAAGCCCTCTGTGCTGGATTTAGGGTTTATTATAACTCATCTGTGTCTCTGAGGGACGGTAAAGATTGAGTGTATTTTAAAATAATTATAGGCCATAGATTTACGAACAATTTGTTTATTCAAGTGTGCTATTAGTATACTTCTTTTAAACTAAAAAATAAAGTCTACTTTCTCAATACTTCAAATTAGGGGTGACCCCGTATAGTCGAAGATTCGATGCTTCGAAAGGAAGAGCCTGATTCGACTACCAATCTCACGGTCGACTCTTCGCAGAGGTGTTATTAAACGAGGAAGATCATGTCATTTTGGCTATATGAGGGGGCTCAATGCAAGATTTCACATAGAACTACTGGTTTTCTGTCAATACGTTAATATACAGCCTATTATGATAATGCTGGCAATAAAAATGTACACACACACACACACACATTGATATTAGTATACTTACTACATGAAGTGTACTTAAAAATATACTTGATCTTAAGTATACTTTGATAAAATTAACTCGAAGTCTACTTCTTTTCCGTAAGGGCTGTCTGCATAAACCCTCTATCTCTCTCTATCATTCTGCCTCTCTGTGCTACAGGTTCTCTGACCTCAATAAGCATCGGGAGAATGATCTTCAAATGAGAGAGGAGGATCAAACGAGTCTCCACTGCAACCACTGAGAAAGACACTGCGTCTGAATAGTGAGGCAGATAAAGCTTAATTCTTAAATAACTGGCCAGATCTCATTCAGAGAGATAAATATATTGGGAACATTGCAGATGAACTGCTTCATCAGAACATAATGAATGAGGGACAATATTCAGAAACCACACATGCCAGTTTAACCAGTGAGAAGAGCGTGAGAGAGATCTGTGATATTATACGTAAGCACAGTGACCCGGTGAAAACTAAATTCATCTGGATTCTTCAGGAAGAGGAGCTTTACCTTTTCGATCATTGGTTTGATTCTCCACCGTGAGCTCGAGCTGCAGGTGTTTAAAACTGCATGGCAAAATCCCCAGTTCTGCTTTTCCTCAGACTGATCCTTCTGACATGTGTCGCTGGTACTGATGTCTCAGTTGTTGAACATGAGATTATTTGGGTATATCTAACAGACAATATTTTGTCTCATCTATGTTTTTTTTGTGTGTCTTGGGCCAGGTTTTATAACTTTATATTTTTATCTTTAACATTGTACTGGAGTGCAGCTGCCTTTGTACTGTTAATACTTTATTAGTCTTTATTTCCTATTGTATTTGCTTCTTTTGTTTAAATATATATTACAATGAGGATATCCTGCGTAGGCATGTATTGCCAAGATGACCCTTGTGAAAAATAAATATACCAAAATGTATTTGAAATACATTTATTTTCTGCTAAGTATACTACACATGTACATATTTATGTACTTAATACAAATATCCTGGCATTGTACTTAAAGTCAACTAAACTGGAACAACTAATTTTGGACTTAATGTACTTTAGTTATCCGGAAACAGTGCTGAGGTTCAACTAAAGTATATTTGATTGTGCTAAAGTGGAACTATTGCAAATATACTTCTGGTACACTTTAAATATCTGGCATTTAAAGACTGCTGTTATACCGAGATCATACTATCATTACTAATGATATTGAAACACATTTTAGGATTAATATTTAGAACTCAGCGTTGTGCAATAAAGAAATACTCAGAATAAAGTTTATTTATAATATTTATGTCAGTAATTCTCAAGCGATATGCCAGTAAATATGTTAAAGGATGTGTAGTATACTTAGTATGAAATGTGTTTTAAAAACATTTTGGTATTTTTTTTCCACTAGGGCATTTATTGATTCAAAACACTTTTATGAGATTTGTTAATCATTGCAAGATTGTAATACAGACATTGTAAGTTCCTCTCATTCTACATGTATACTTTTTTTCCAGTTGATGATTGTGCAAAAGAAAAACTTAAAAATGAAAATTAAAGTAACCCAATCAAGCATCCCAAACCTGACAGGCCATTTCAGATGAAAAAACTGCTGTAAAATAGCCTCTCTAGTGATGATACAGGAAAATATGGGTTTATCAGAAGTTATCAAAATATTCTTTCAAAATATTAATTCATAGTAACATTACAAATTAATCCCACAACAGGTTTTTACAAGATAAAGTAAACGTTCTACATGTTATGTAAAATTAGTTTTATGTAAGATTTATATTAATTGTTGTCTGTGTATTTCATACTTGATGAATTGTTGAGGTAGGGGAGACCAGGGACGGTTGTAACACCTTGAATTCCTCTAATCAGAAACAACCTAGAGTGATGACACTCACTGTGCTCATGCTCAGTTAGTTTTCCTCCATTTTTGCCAAAAAGGGAGCCACATTTGAAACTTTGAGTTATTGACAAAAGGTTGTTTTTGAGGTAAAAAATTACTTTTCTTTCTGATGTACTTTTTTGGATGCTGTTATAAGATAAAATGTTTATGAATTCAAACAAGTATTATTAGAATCACTGTTTTGTGAGCTAAAAATAGAAATAGCTAACAAGTGTATAACTAGCAGTCAAGCTGGCTCAGATGAGATGAAAACATGGTTGGCGATACTGGGACGGTTGTAACGCCCCGTTACAACTGTCCCAGAATCACCAACCAAGTTTCATTTATATTTTAAAAACTAATTAAGCTATAAAAAACTGCATAGTTTCCATTTAATGTGCAAATTAAAAGTAAAATATGCACTGTGCGTTGCAAATTAAATGTAAAATGTCATCAAATCACATTTTAAGGTAATTATCTTTTTTTTATATGAAAATAGTCAGTGGAAACTTGATTGCTTACAGCATGCCAAATATAAGAAAGAGGATGACAGACAGGGGAGTCCCATTTCCTGTGCTGGAAAGTGTAATCATTAGGCTACTTAGAAATATGAAATGAAGAGTCACAATAACATCCCAGTGCGCAATTGATGTCAATTTAACATAAATATGACATCAAACATTGGTCAAAATAACGTTACGAAATAGGTCAAAAATTCAATTTTAAGTCAAGATTTTGACCTCTGCTGATGTCATTTTGATGTCATGCTTTGTTGGCATTTGATGTCAATTCAACATTTGACGTCAGCATGGCATGATGTTGATGTCATTTTAATACTATTTTGATATCATTCAATATCAAGCTTCGATATCAATTCAACATAAATGTGACATCAAACATTGACTGTTTTTCAAACAGTGTCTGAAGCAGTGTTAAAGTTAATGAGATAATTCAGTGATTAATTGAGTGATGATTGGTCATTATTGATGAACACCTGATGTTAACAAGCAGAATCACTGAAGGAGATAATCACAATTTTAAGTCACCATTTTGGTGATCAATGTTTGCTTTAGTTGGGCTCTTGACCCTAATGATTTTAACTTTAGATTTTGTGTGGCTGCTGAAACTGAGTGGTGAACAGCCAGATGAACAAAGAGTAAAGGTGATCTGATTGTGTTGGTTATGTTTTGACATAATCATTAGAGGTCAAAATCTTGACATCAAATTGACCGACACTTTGACGTCAATGTGACTTTCATTTTTGACCTATTTCGTGACGTTATTTTGACATCAATGTTTGATGTCATATTGATGTTAAATTGACGTCAAGGTGCCCGCTGGGATGACTGATAAATAATATTTTCCATTTTGAGTAGGTTATATGATTAATTCATTATGTAGTCTATATTTTAGACATGTTACAACCGTCCCTGACATGTGTTACAACCGTCCCTGTACACTGGGACGGTTGTAACAGTGGAGAGACTGTATTAAAATTAATTTTGCAACCTGTACATATTTCATAAAACCACTTAAATACATTGTTTCAGCAGTTGACAGATTGAAGTTTATAATATAACAAATTGGTTATTCCAGTATAAATGGTTTTTGATGTATTGCTAAAAATTGCAAAAAGTGTTAACTGTCCCTGGTCTCCCCTACATTTATTATTATTATTTAAAATGTTTTACTAAAGATTAGCCATTAACTAGATTAACTTAATTAGATTAACTATGAAATGTATAATTTTACAAAAAAGGATAGTTGTGGCAAATAGAATCCAGCTCTCTATATCATGTGTTTATATTCCTCTGCAAACACACAAAGTTTGATGAACTGCAATGAGGGAACATTTAATATTATCTTGCAACCTTTGATGGTTGGAAATGTAGAATAATGATGTCTTACTTTGTTCAATTTAATAAAAGGTCATTTTTGTAAACTATTTTGTTGTTTAAGAATGTAACATTTGGAGAAAAAGCTTTGTATATGTGACCAGTTACGGAAACTAGGGACACAAGTCGTTCTGGAGCATTTTGAGTTATTCACAGATTCTGAAAGTGTGGTCTCCAAGCTTTCCAACGATGTGTAACACATGGAAATCTGATAATATTTGGAGAAGTTGTGGCCATTTGAAGTTAGGCACTCAAAAAAACTAAAAGTGGAGAAAACCGCCTCGAAAGATGTGCAGTTCTCACCTCTCTCTGCTGCTGGGAGTGACAATAGGGCTCATTTACATCTCATTTAGATAAGCCATACCCCCTGTAAAGCTCTCCCTGTGCTTTACAGCTTTTTTTTCTTTCCTGAGCTAGCTAATAACAATAGGTAGGTATGGGAAGGTCTAAACAGACTAAACATGAGATAACATGTACGTGTTCTTAGAATTAAAACAAAACGACAAACTTTAATGTTTAATGCAAACTCACCCCCAGGACCGGCGAATGCACTTCTGCCGCTCTAGGCGAAAAACAATTGTGCTGCCCCTCTATTTGCAACGTTTACCAGCAACAACACACAAAGACCAATATGCCATATACATATAACGCAAAACCAGCAACAACACACAAAGACCAATAAGCCATAGGCCTACATATAACGCAAATAGTGCGCAACGCGCGTGTGCCCAAAATGTCAACAATATTAAAGTTTATGCAGGAGGTAAATGCCTGCTGGCATTTTTCTTTAAGCAGTCATGACAGGAATTTTCCAAATAATCATATTTCCTCCTCAGATTACTGTTGCAAATCTCTTTACACCACTTTCTTATGTGCGTATACACACACAAATGAAATGTCCGCAAGCACATTATATCATCAGCAGGTTCAGCATCTTACATAACGACTAAGGAGCAAATAAAGCTTAACTTACGTGTAAGTGCAGAAAATGCTTGTCTTTTATTTTGTATTTTTGCGTGTACGTTTCCAGGTGGTTTGGTCACATGGGTATTGGTGGGTATATACCTGGTAGTATTTCCTGTTTGGTTCATTGTGTAGAGAGGGGGTGAGTAGCGGGGAGTGCTCATTTTCTGTTGACCGTTTATACGGATCTTTATCATGTTTTACGTGGATTGTCTGTTATCATGCCAATAAAATGTTATTGGTTATTCAATGAAAGAAAACGCGTCACGGATATTTCCTGCTGCTTAGCCTCTCAGCGGCTATAGGTTGCCGCTACATTAGTCAACAGAAAGCCTGCACAATTTATGGATTATGGACGCGACTTGGAAACGGCTGTTTCTGCATACAGCATGTTGTGGCGGACGTGCACCATGAAGTAGATTGACGGACACGACGCACATACAGACGGCAAACGAGGTATGTTGGCGGTTTTAATGGATTGTGCTGTATCACCGTTGTGGAAGACGCTGTTGTAGTCGTTGGATTGGAGTTGGGTTGAATGCGCTTTGTGCTGCTCGTGCATATTTATGGGCTCTCGTGTGCTGCCTTGTTACGTTCATTCATTGTTTGGCTCTGTGAGCGCGCTGTTTGAAACGGAGCTCACATTGTCCGTTGCGTTGGAGAATGATGGATTCTGAGGATATGGAGCACGCTGCTGGTAGCGGCAAACGAGAGCATAAACCCACGGCAAAAGCCCTGGTGGCTAAAATTGAAGCCTTGCAAAGGGATCGCAAGAGTAAAGTGAATAAAGTGAAGAGTTTGATTGGGTCAATGAAAGAGCTGATGATATGCGATGACAATGCGTCT